CCTTTAATAAGTTTATTTTACCATATCTCTAAAATGACTATACATATTGAAAATAGCTATATTTTTATTCCTAATTTTTAAACTTATTTTTAAAATGCAGAAGTAATATATAAATGCATACTTATTATAAACAAAAATCCAGATGATTTCTAAGGATAAGACAAATAAAGAAAAGCCCATTTCTTATTTAAGATGATCCTCAGCATGTGTCTTTATTTCCTCTTTTTCCAGAGACCCAATTAAAAGTAGTAAAAGAACAAAATATAAACCCAAGCCACAAAGAGACCTGATGCATGAGTGTGTGCTTGGGAACAACCAGGAGATGAGACAGTGTGACACATTTCTGGAAGACAAAAAGTAAATATGAGAGTGGAATGTCAGATGGTGCTGGTTCCCTCTCCAGCAACCATGTCCCTGTCCTCCTTGTTGATAGAATTCTGATTGGATGTGATTATCAAAATATGCAATTCCAAGGATCAAACCAATATTTACCTTATTGAAACACTAATAGTAATTATCTTATTCTAGTTTACCAAATATTCCATTTTAAATCCTTTCCTGTAACTAAGAATGGCCATGTGATACAATTCCGATAGTAGTATGGTAAAGAAAGTAAGTTAGGGACCTTCAGTGCAACTTCTGCCTTCATAATAAAAAGAAAAAAATGTGGGTAAGAAGTCTTTCCATTTCTCTCTGTTCCGATGCTGTGTGCGAAGATGTAAACGCATGCAGTGTTGCAGTTAACCGGTGGTCATGAGAGGGAGGCCAAGAAAAACGAAGTCTTGCTAGCACAGCGCCTTGGCATCACTGAGGTGCTATGCCTATGTCCAGGTTTTTGTTTTGTAATATAATTAAATTATTTTGTTGAATAAGCCGATGTTATTCAGGTATTCTGTAACAGGTGGTTAAAAGTACATGGGTGGTTATTGATGAATCTTGAAGGGAAAGTATAGGAACTTGGAATAAGAGAGAGAAAGAGAGAGAGAGAGAGCGCGAGAGAGAGAGCAGATATCCTGGAAAAATTCTAGAGAGGCTCTTAGCTAAGAGACAGCAGAACCAAATAGGGCAGAATGATAAGTGACAGTAAAACCAAGGTGACTTGATGGTTGGTCTATGGAACAATTGACTCTCCATCCCTCCCTCCACATTGCAGCATATTCCATAGTTAACCTTGTATTCTCCTGAGGGGGGACAAGGTCAGTGGTTCTTTCCTAAAGCAATTGAACAAGGGGGAGAACTAGGACAGCTGAGAAGTCAGTAAAGCCCTCCTTGTCTGCCAGTTAGGGAAATATAAGGAAAAGTCCCCACCTATTCACCCTAAAGAAAAACCCTAAATCAACAAATCCTGAAGCATCATCAAAGTTTTCATCCTTAACTGTGAATGAATACCAATAGATTACCCTTAAGAAAACATTCAACACACAAAGGAAAGGTAGAGATGGAAACAGTGCTTCCAGAGTAAAGAGGATTTAGAAAAGAGAGGAGATTCAAATATAAATATAACAAATATAAAGATAAAAAATAAAAACAACTTCTTTCATTTTCTACAGCTTTAAGTGCAATGTATTTTACATGTACAATGTATCTATTTAAAGTGTGCAATTTAATTATTTTAGTAAATTTACCAAGTGATGAAACCATCTCCACAAATCAGGTTGTAGAACATTTTCATCACCCCAATAGGATTCTGTGTGCCCACTTACTGTTAATCCCCTTTCATATCCCTGTCCCAAGCAACTGCTAATCTGTTATCTAGCTGTATAGATTTGTCTTTTCTGGACATTTCACATAAATGGAATCACACAATATGTGCCCACTCATGTCTTGCTTTCTTTCACCTGACATTACTGAGGTTTGTCCGTGTTGTAGCACCCATTTGTCATTCAAAATCAGAACTCTTAACACCTGCCAGGGGACAGAGGCTATTACATCCACAACGAAAGAGGATATAATGAAAAATCAACATATAGAGAACATATAGAAAGCACTTGGAAATTAAAAATATAAGTGCCAAAATAAAAATATATTTAAAAGAATAGAAGGTAAAGTTGAAATCTCCTACAATAGTAATAACTATTTAACAGGTTTGTTTATGTTCCTTCATATTTTGTCTTTTCGCTATTCTGTGCGCTTAGATATTAATTTTCCTAAATGGTGTTTTTAAAATGAAAGTTGTGTGTGTTTAGAAATAAAAGTAATTTATATCAAGGAAAGTTGAAAAGAATAAAAATCTACAGAGTAAATCAACATAAAGAAATCCTTTTCCATCCAGAGCAGGGCAGATCGATAGATTTTATAGCCATATTACTTATACTACATGCAATCATTTTTTCTCATACTATAATTACAATTTTGTATCCTGCTTTTCTCACTTAAGCTTTCATGATCCTTTTATTGTTACCATGTAGACTTTAAAGGTTTCCCTTTTAGTAACTGCCACATCGTTCATCCAATGGCCATATAATTATGAATCTTGACTTGTTAAACATTTAGAGCATTCCCTTATTTTAAGATATATAAATAAATGCACGATGTAAACCACTGTATAAACAACATTATTCTAATTACATACTATTTCCTTAGGTTAGATTGTTAAGTGAAATTTCTGGATTGAAGGATATGAATACTTCTAAAGAAATTTGTTACATATTGTAACAATGTATTATATATTATAACAATGTTATATATTGCAATTTAGAGCATTCCCTTATTTTAAGATATATAAATAAATGCACGATGTAAACCACTGTATAAACAACATTATTCTAATTACAGACTATTTCCTTAGGTTAGATTGTTAAGTGAAATTTCTGGATTGAAGGATATGAATACTTTTAAAGAAATTTGTTACATATTGTAACAATGTATTATATATTATAACAATGTTATATATTGCAATAATATGTTACATATTAGATTTACCATGAGGTTTAGACCATTCTACAGGATAAGTTGTAAAGTACACATCTGAAAGCAATATTCAGTAGTAAAACATTTCTCCTCATTTTGTTTGCCATAATGTGACAATCATAAATTATATAATATAGCATGAGCATTTTAGTGACACAGGAATTTAATTTTGGGGTAGAATTGAAAATGCTTTCTTTTATTAAATTGTTAAGATTAGAGTACCAGGCAAAAATCCATGGTATGATAATTTGTTTAAAAATTGGCCAATATAGGTTCATCTTCCTACACAAACACTAAATGCATACGTACACACACACATATACATACATACACAGATGAACGTGCACACAACATGAACACTTCAAAATATTAATTGTCAGTTTTACACGTTTACCTACGCGAACAACAACATAATTGGTGGCTTAGGTGACATTTTCTGAAATCCTCTCTAACTTCCAAAATTGGTTCAGAAGCTCTTTTTATTTTTTGCAGTCTCCATATCTTTATCATTGTTCTTACCAGATTGCATTTAAATGAACTCTATTAAGATTGTTCTTTTCTTAAACCACTAGAATATGAGTAATCCAACAGCAGATATCATGTTTCAATCATATTCCCAGCCCTAAGATCAAGTACATAGTGCATATAACATAATTTACAGTAGTTCCTCCTTATCCATGTGGGATACATTCCAAGACCCTCAATGGGTGCCTGAAACTAAGAATAGTACCAAACCCTATATACACTGTATTTTTCTCCTATAAATACATACCTATCATAAAGTTTAATTTCTAAACTAAGCACAGTAAGAGATTAACAGCCATAATTAATAATGAAATGGAATAATTATAACAATATACTACAGCATCACTACTCTTGAGCTGTGGAACCATTATTAGGTAAAATAATGGTTACTTGAACCTGAGCACTGCGATACCTTGACAGTCCATCTGAGATGGCTATGAAGTGACAGCAGGCAAGTAGCATTACAGTGTGGATCCTCTGAACAAAGAAATGATTCATATCCCAAGCAGGATAGAGGAGGAGGATGCAAGATTGCAACATGCTATTCAGAAAGACATGCAGTTTAAAACTTATTTTCAGACTCTGGTTGACCGTGGCTAATTGAACTCATAGAAAGCAAAGCCATGTATAAGGCAGGGGCGGGGGGGAGTCCCATACTCACAATGTTTACCAACATGAACTAAATGAACTTCTTTAAGTAGGTTCAGAAGAGTATGAATTTAATCATTTAATAAATATTTTGCTGTATTTCTTTTGTTAGGGGACTGTAAATTTTAGAAATACTTCTACCATTTCTTTTTTTGTCAAATGGGTTATTTCATAGCTATTTTTTTTTCAAAAAAACAAAACAAAACAAAACAAATACTGCAGTTTATTTTAATTCATAATTTTTAGAAACCAAAATGGAAAATTATCTGTTGTAGTTACATTTAGGTAGTAAATAAGGAAGTCCAAATTTGCAAGTGTTTCCCATATTTGGGCAATCTAAATTACAACACAGAATTCTTCTTATAAATTATTTAAATAGAAAGCCCCTCTGTACATTTGTAATTTTCTTCAAACGATCTCATTGTTAATATATAAACTACATTAAGATATGCTTATAATATATCTGAACCTCTGGTCCAGTCTTGTCTGATGCTAAGACTTTCTAAGCCAATGTTTGGACTCACATTAGCTTGTCTAGGTTACACCATCTACATTATGCCTTCCAGAATTCATAAAAGCTTCATTCTGATTATAACCCCTTCCTGTTTTCAACTCCATTGTGAATTTTTTATTCCTCTTTCCGCACCTTTTTGTTGTTATCGTTGTTTCAGGGAAATTGGAGTGGGGGGTGATAGATAAATCTGTTGCAGTCTTCCGCTTGAACCCAAACCCCCAGCTGTATAAAAAATAATATTATTTTAAAGTTGTCTTGACAATTGGATACTTTTAATTGTCACGAGGAATTTGCTGATAAAGTAGAAAATGCTGCTAATCATTGGTTTCTCACACCATGAGACTTTCTTTTTTATAAATTGTAGGATGACTTAATGGCATTTAGTAGAAAATGACCAAACAAGTCTTTCTTCCTTGTGTTTATAGAGATTTGCCTGCTGACCAAGGGACGCCGCACTGCCAGTGTTCGAGCTGATACGTATTGCCGTCTTTACTCTCTTTCGGTGGACAATTTCAATGAGGTCCTGGAAGAATATCCAATGATGAGGAGAGCCTTTGAGACAGTTGCCATTGACCGACTAGATCGAATAGGTACTCTTTAATTTTTGATCTTCTCCATGCACAATTTAGTTTTAATCTAGTGAAGTAATATCAGTTTGCCATTATAATCCCAAATGCTAGTTTGTAGCTTGCTTATTAATTTGTGTAGAAATAATAATTAGTTGTAGACATATTCCTAGACAGATCTGAGACCCTACCTAACATTCTTTTCTAAGTATTCTGGGTTTATTTATTCATGTCTATTTTCACTAGCTACACAATCTGATTTCTCGAGTGATGCCAAAACAAATCGAATCTTCAGGTAAAAAGCAATGATAAAAATTCTAGAAAGCATTAAAATAGAGCAAAAGATACAATAGTATGAGTCTACATTACAAACTGAATTTTATCACAGGCTTTTTTTTAAAGGTGAACTTTACATTTTATTCTTATATTATAAATTGAAAACTGGTGCATTTAAATTGGTCTCAGCAGAAATTTATTTTAATGTTTGTAATACAGACTCATGCAGAAAAAGCCTAGATAGATGTTCCCCACATAGATGCTTTACCTTGCTATTATCAATTTATTTTTAATTCTTTTTTGCTATTAAATTAAAATAATATATATTAGACCTTTTTAGTTATGCTAGTTTAAATATTTGTATAATTGCCCTAGTAAAATTAGATCATGTTGGCTTGCTGTTAACTTCCCTACGTATCCTAGAACATTCTGATAAGTCATAAGGTAGTATGCATTCATTCTCCACCCTAAATCCTCTTTGCCTACCTGACCCTTGTCTGCCCCGTTTCTGAGGCTAAATCTACTCAACCTTCATGTCTCTGTTTAGAGATCACTTCCCTGTACATACCCTCTCTGACTTCCCACCCCCTGCCATTTTGAGTTCCTTGGATATGGTCCCTTATGGCCTCTGAAGTCCCCCCTTCACAACTCTGCTCTTATTATTGTAGTTGCCCTAGCGATGCTAAGCTTTGTGAATGTAGAGATCATGTCTGATTCACTGTTACCTTCCCAGTAACTAGTACACAATAAATATTTGTTGAAGAGAGGTAAGGAGGGAGGAAGGAATAGATGAACTCAAAGGAGATGACTTGTACTAAATAAACAAGGAGGGACGTCAACTACTTCGTTCTTATTAAAGGTAAGGACTTTAGATGGTTGATTGTCATGTCAGCTTTTATCTGCACTTTCCATCTTTCTTTATCTCTTTATTAGTAGGATGACAGACTGCAGAAGGTTCTGAAATTAGATTAAGAGAAGTAAAGGTAGTATTTAGACATTACTATTACACATAATAAACATATTAAAAATTTATATGGACATCTCAGAGGTCTAACAGAATATACTCATTTAGGGAGACAGATAGTTTAAATTTGCTTTTAAACTATCAAAATCTGGGCCCCATGTCTGGTTATTCAGATTTAATTGGTAAGGTATAGATGAACATTAGTATTTTTTAGAGTTCCAGAGATGAGAAAAAATATGCAGCTAGGATTGAGAATCACTGGGATAGGGAAACGGTCAGAAGCAAAGGCCGAGGTACAGTGCTCCTCAAACTTGCATGTGCAAATCACCCAGGGATCCTAGTAAAAAATGCAGTATCTGATTCAGCCGGTGGGGTCAGGCCTGAGAGGCTGAATTTCTAGCAAGCACCCAGATGACCCTGATGTAGCTGGTCCATTATCCGTAGCAAGGATGTGTAACCAGATTCACTTTTCTCCCTTCCCAGCCCTGTTACTTACTAACCATCTTTTCTTGGGCATTGTTCTTAATGTCCTGGTCTCCTTCGGGGTAAAATTGCATTATGAACACACCTACCTCACAGGACTGACTATTAAATAAAATGTAATCTACCTCAAGTCCTTTGTAGACTGCCTATCACACATTAAGTGCTCAGATGTTAGCTCTCATTTCTCCATTGTTCTTTCCTGGAAAAGTAGCTTCAACTTCAAATCTTGATTCCAGGCTCATCCTGATCCAAAAGCCCTTTCTTCCCCCATTCTTCAAGGGAGCCCCCATGTTAAATATCTCCATTTTTTCTGTAAAGTGGCTTTTGCCATATTACAGGCTTTCCAACTCACTTTGTGTAGAAGATAAGATTTACCAGAGAGATACAGGCAGTGTGAAAAGCAGGAGCCTCATTTCTATTTGGTGTCTAAAGGTGAGTATTTGGCTTTTAAGCCTCTTCTAGGAAATGTTGACATACTTCTGTTTGCAAGAGCCACTCCACTTGACGTTGTCATCAGTGATGGGGAGGCTTTCTAAGTGTCTATCTTTCTTTTGCTGACAGGAAAGAAAAACTCAATTCTTCTGCAAAAGTTCCAAAAGGATCTGAACACTGGTGTTTTCAACAATCAGGAGAACGAAATTCTGAAGCAGATTGTGAAACACGACAGGGAGATGGTGCAGGCAATCCCTCCAATCAATTATCCTCAAATGACAACCCTGAATTCGACATCTTCCGCTACTACCCCGACCTCTCGCATGAGGACACAATCTCCACCAGTGTACACAGCAACCAGTCTGTCTCATAGCAACCTGCATTCCCCCAGTCCCAGCACACAGACCCCCCAACAGTCAGCCGTCCTCTCACCCTGCTCCTACACCACTGCGGTCTGCAGCCCTCCCGTACAGAGCCCGCTGGCCACTCGAACTTTCCACTATGCCTCCCCCACTGCCTCCCAGTTGTCACTCATGCAGCAGCAGCAGCAGCAGTTACAGCAGTCCCAGCCACCGCAGACTCAGCAGCAGCAGCAGCCCCAACAGCCACAGACACCCAGCAGCTCCACGCCGAAAAACGAAGTGCACAAGAGCACGCAGGCCCTTCATAACACCAACCTGACCCGAGAAGTCAGGCCCCTCTCCGCCTCGCAGCCCTCGCTGCCCCATGAAGTTTCCACTCTAATTTCCAAACCTCATCCCACTGTGGGCGAGTCTCTGGCCTCCATCCCTCAACCCGTGACAGCTGTTCACAGCACGGGCCTTCAGGCAGGGGGCAGGAGCACTGTCCCACAGAGAGTCACCCTCTTCCGACAGATGTCGTCGGGAGCCATTCCTCCAAACCGAGGAATCCCTCCAGCACCCCCTCCACCAGCAGCTGCTCTTCAGAGAGAGTCCTCCTCAGTCTTACACACAGACCCAGATGCAGAAAAGCCACGATTTGCTTCAAATTTATGATCCCTGCTGATTGTCAAAGCAGAAGGAAATACTCTAATAAACTGAGAATATTCTCAGATCTTATTTTATTCTATCTCCTGATAGATCGTTATAGCCTCCTATGAAAAGATATTTTAGACAGCTCTGGCCTACATTCAAAATGTAAAAATATATATATATACATATACTATTAAATATATATATATATAAATTCTCAAGAGAAATTCAAAAGACCTGTTTAGCATTCAGTGTTATATGTCTTCCTTTCTTTAAATCATTAAAGGATTTAAAATGTTGTTTTAAGATTATTTATTTCTAACCTACTTTTAACTTAATTACTTTGATATATGTGTTTCTCTATTTTATGATGAGTTCTTGGATTCAATGGAAACAAAACTGATTTTAAAAAGGCAACTCAAATAAGCTACTGAATAGCACCAATCAAAACTTACTTTCATTAACTGTGTCTCTGCATCTAAATTGTTAATCATTAATTGTGGAGAGTTAGATAGAAAATCCAATTTTATAAATCTAAATTGTATTTTGGTGCTTTCAATTTTGAATTAGGTTAAGGAACACACTACATACTTGGCCACCATAGAAAACTAACATTGCCTCTGTTAAGAATAACTCTGATCTCAAACATGTTCATTGATCTTTCAGAAAGCTGAGGGGTTATTTACCTTCATGTTTTATCGAACTTTTACCAAGACTCAGTCAATGTTAGTTGTAAATAACTTTTTCAACCCAAATAAAAATAGATATTCCATGTTGTAAGAAGGTAAAAGTCATTGTTTAAAACTTTAGTTTCATTGCTACACTTCAAAACTTAGAGTGTTAAATTTTTAAAAACTTAATTGTGACAATTATTCAATTGTAATGCAATGGCTTGAAAACTACAATATTATTTTAACCTGCAATGTTTTATGCAAAATCTAATGCTTGAATCTACAAATTGCTTGTATTACACCAAAAATCATTACTTTTCTTCCTTCTTGTCATAATCAAGCATCTGAAAATAGTCCCTGCATGCTTTGGGGGAAAAAATAGGTTCAAATCCGTCATTGTAGGGAAAAGCTTACAGTATTTCTCATTTCTAGAAAAGTGTAACCATTAATTACGTATCTTAAAATTCCTAGAAGGCTGACTTGGATCTCTGACTTGAGTCTAGAAGTGAGGTTTCACTTTCATTTAATATTACTGCTATTATTATTATTTAAACAATTATTTGTAAACCACAGCTTGATTTGGAGTTGCAAGTGTGCTCTGTCTTCACTGTAGTTGGTAATTTCTGGTGGTGTTAATTTAAAGAAATAAATACAATATAGTATCAGATCCGTTTGGGAACACCCAATTTGCTTTACATGTATTGTAACTAAGTTGTTGGTAAATCTTAAGGCATGTGGTGACTTAGTCCTTAAGTAGGAGGTTTGTTATTTTAAATGTGTTGAAATTAGTATGGACATGATGACAGAAAGAAGCAGTAAGGTGAATGTCAGCATTGTTTGTTTGTTTGTTTCCTTAACCCTTTCCATGATCTGTGAACATTCCCTTCTTCTCAAAGAAGTCCCCAGGTAATCATTTGTGCCTAATGCGCCCCACAAGTGTGGTGGATGACTGGAACACAATTGGAAGTTTCCTAATAACCAACATCTGTAAATAACCTGAGTTAAGAGAATGACCTAAAGTGGAGGTCTTCAGTATCTTTGACATTGGTGATGCATTTAAGAAGAACTTAACAAAGATCACACATTATATGGGGCAGGGCCTCCAGACAGACTTGAGGACAGAAAACAAAAACTCTAACTTGGATCCATGCTACCTGTTATGCCTTTTACAGATATAATCTCTATAATACCAAAATGAGTTATGTTTAATTTGTAACAGATCCCAACTTGTGTGGAAGTAATCAACAATGCTAGTCAATATATTGTTATCATTAACATGCTGGTGACATATGATGTCATGCCAGGAATGGTGTGAGAAAGAGATTTTTCAGTCTAGAACCTGTGGAAAAGCTGCAAGACCATTTACATATCAGTACAAAACTCCTTTATTTTATTAAAATATGAGAATTAACTTCAACTTATTAATATCATGTATTGGTCCTTTAAATTATTAAATATTTACATTTGATAGGATTAATGGATTTGGTAGTGAAATATTTTTATATATATAATTTTTTGGTTTTTTATTTGGAGCACTATTGGGAAACATAAGCAAAGTTTAATTGCATGGTCTTTCAGTGCAACCATACAATTTTTATTGACTTTTTAATAGAATGGACAAAAAATATAAGGTTTATATGTTAAACTAATAAAATGGTACAGGGTAAATTATATACATATATATATGAATGTGTATATACTTAGGTTAAGAAAAAAATTGACTCACATTCCTGTAATATAAAGATTAATTGCTAGTTGAAAAGTGGCCTCTTTTCTCTATACATAGTTAAGCCCATAAGTATGGAGTTTTAATCTGTACAGAAAGAAATGTATTAATGAAAAGATTGGTCTTTTTGCTGATGGGGAAATAGTAGAATAGCTGAGTCTTACAACTGTATGATCAGGGATGAGTTAGAATATTTCTTTTGTCATTGCTCAAAGCCATACATATATAAATATATATAAAGATTATTAATAAATTCAACAAAAATAAACTAAAATCATGAATATTTTATTTTATCAGTATATTCTAATCAAATGTTTGCTTTATTAATGAGTTCAGATTTGCCTCTGTCTTTCTGTCTTTACATCATAAGATTTTCAAGAGGGCTTATACTTGACAATCATAAAATTAATTATATTCTATAACTTTAGGATGAGAACCATTTAAGTAGAACATAGATTTTCCAACCATTCTTTCGTTTTATTTCTTCCATATAGTTAGCTGAGTTTATTTTATTCTTTGCTCTGTACCTCTATAGCATGTGTTGTGGTCTAATTTCAAAACACAGCCTTTTTTTGTGCTCTTGTTGGATATGGGGATGAGAAAAATATTGTTTTGTAATTAACTCATACAAACCTATTCTGTTACAGCCTTGAGAGTTGCGATGGCTTTTGGGTAGTGATAGAATCTCAGCATATATGTGGATTTTGAATCAAACCTAAAAACCTGAGATTGAGTTTGTCACAGTGAGAAGAAATACTGAAGCAGTTTCTGAAAACAGTGAGGTTACATGGCAATAGATTCTATTCATCGAATAAATAGGCTGTCTCCAGGCTTTGGTGACCTCTCCATAAGAGAATGATTCCCTAATGAATGCCTTTCCACTTTTAAAAGATGGTTTTTTTGCAATTTACAAACTTAAATGAGCATACTGTTTTCAGGATACTACAAAGTACACAGTCAAGTTATTAGAATAATTCCTACAAAACTTGGGTGATTTAAACAATATAACATTTGTAAAATTTTAGATATATTATCTCAAAACCTGAATTATTTACACTTCAAAGTATAACCAATCTGTATTATCTTTCAGGATAATTTTTATATCTCCATACGTTCTTTTTCAGCTTAGAGTTTTATATTTGTTAATTTTACTATGTTACTTTGCTTTCTTGGACCTCACTTTCATCATTTACAGCACTAAGCTGTTTGAACAGGATCTCTTTCCCTTATACTTCCATCCTTCTAGAACACATGCCATAAAACCCAAGTGTGGTTATTTTGTTCCTATGTACAAACCTAGAAGAGTTTTATTACATGCTCAGACTACTTAAAAAATTAGTCATGAGAAAGAAACCTGGTCCTTATAGAATAATTGGATGCTGAGATATTTTGAGTCCTGAAAAGAATAATCAAAAATTTAAGCAAGTATAACTTCCTGCAGGCACCAAATTGTAGCTCTAGAACTTTAACTATAGTTAAAGTTCCGTAACTTTATTCAATATGTCCTTTTTCAAGGAAAACAGGATGGAGATTTTCACTGAAACATTTGCTGTTGTATGAAGGGTTAAGTGTACCCAGTACTGTCGCTTGAAAACAGTGACTTTCTTAAATAATTTTAATGCTTTCTTTTTTAATGAATGGCATCTATTTTTTTTTTTTTTTTTTTTTTTTTTGAAAATGATTAAGTTAACCCCGAAGACAACTGTTTTTAAAAGGAAAAAAGAAAGTATAAATTATCTTGCTTAA